CCCTCCTTTTCGGGGTTTAATTAGATTTTGAGCCTGCTATCAATATTACTGGTGGACCTACTAGACTTTTCTCTAATTGCTACATATACATTGTACTTTAACATGTTTAAACTCCTTGGCCTTTAGCTAAAAAAAATTCCCACATCATTTTAACACGTAAAATTGATAAATGAATCAGAATGTTGAAAACATTTTTATCTCTAGGTGGAACAAAACTAACATCTCATCAAAGGTAGGAAATATAACAGTATTTTAATTCAATATTTTAGTCGTGATTGGTATAAGTGAAGTCATTGGAAAGATGTCGAAATTCATCTATACTCGTTGATTGCAGGGCTGTACTTATGCATACAGCTTTAGCTGGTCCCGCCCTGTATTTCTTTTAATGTTTTTTTTTTCGTTAAGAAATCTGGTAAGGTATGCTAGTAAAAATAAAATCCCTGTTAGTTTATTACTCTTTCGGAAATTACTTTCCTACAGGCCTGAAGATCGAGTCTATTAGTCACGCAAGTTTTTTTTTTATATAAAAATGTAGCATGTCGGCGAATAAAAATAAAGTTACTGTAGTGTACACCATAGATAAAGAAATGTTTGTTGAAGTATTGACAAACTTCATACCTTTATAGAATGAAATCAACAAGAACTGCACAAAAATACAATCGTGACAATTATACAATGAATATATTATACAATTAATTCTTTTAATAGATTGCCTTAGCATGCACTACTTTAAAAGCCATTGTTCTTAAGGAAAACAAAATCATGCAAAATATTATAGACTTTTCTTTATCTAGAGCAATGGCCTTTGGAGAAAAAAAAATGGCTGAAAATTTTTTAGTTTGTTAAATATAATGTATGTGCATTTAGGACCCTATACATTGTAATTCCATGCGAAAAGTGCAGGCGTTTACTACACGGGGATCTGCGTACATATTTAAACAAAAAAGGGGGAAAAACGTTTTATGTGATGAATTATATTATAAACATTTATCTAATAAATGTCTTTGTAGTACGTTAGATTACAAATTTCACACAAAAACCCATCAACAATATTAAATACAGTTTTGATTTCACATTGATCTATTAACGTCATTCTGATTTAATATAATTATACACGACGAGAATTAAGATCTATTCAATACCTATAGAAAATTATTTAATTTCTAAAGAGGAGAGTTTTATTTTAAATCAGTAATGAAAATTGAAATAAAAATTCTAAATAGTTTGTTCTTTCATTGAACTTCTTAAATGTAGGTTATTTTATAAATATGTTCTCTTGTATAACTTTATTTATGGAATATACAATTTTTTAAATGATAAAAGAAACACGAATCATCATCTTAATTTAAAAGAATTTTCGGTCGGAGACTGTGTGTGTACATGCTCGACAACAGCCCATTGTTCCCTTTAGGTACAAAACCGTCTCAATTCACATAGAATATACAAAAAATACACAGTGACAGGTGTCTTCGCGGCACGTGTCTCCACCTGATATGGCACGTGAGGACAGGTGTCCCTAATTACACAGGCCGATCATAGTTACTTTTTCAAAAGCGTTTTTTTTTCGGGGGGGGGGGCTTCTCAAGAAAAAAAAATAAAAAGCAACCCACCCACCCCAATAATAAAAACAATGATTTAATAAATTAAAAAAGACAATATTCACTATTAATAGTAAAATACTAGTATGACAGTACTCAGCCCCAAGCTAATTCGATGAATGATTCTTATCTGACCAGTTTATATTAATATATTAATTCATATTAAAACAAAATCTTTATCAATTTCTAAACTCGTATTAAAAAACTTGAAACACTAAAAATGTAATTTTGACAAACCAATTGAAGTATTTTTTTTCCTGACCAATTACCCCGGTATATAAGAAATGCCAACCTCTGATATCTAACACAAATGTCTGGTAAGGTACCTTGATGTCTTGTGAATACATGTAATTACGTAAAAATAATTCTTCAATGTCAATTGCAAAATATTGGAAAAAAAATTAATTATTTTTTGAGGAACTTCTCACCTGTCCTTAATCAGTAATCGTAACTTGACTTATTTCTTTATTTACTTTTTAATCGATCTTTTTAGTAAACCTTTTCTGTAAATAATTTCATTAAATGTACCCTTCCTTAGCTCTGACTTCCATTTTTTTCAAATGAACATTCATCATAGACAGCTTCAAGAAAGTGGGATCGGAAATGATTGATTTCTACATAGCTGCATGCACTTACTTTTTCCTATTCCACTTCACGCATTCTATACGAGTTTACCAAAACTTATGTGATAAATCAAATTCAAAATTAAATTAAATTAAATAAAATTCAGTTAAATAAAATTACATTAAAATTGAATTGCGTTCATGGTGCTGAAATATTAAATTAATCACACAGAAATACACATCTAGTTATTTTAACTGTTTGAAGTTAATTATTTTGATACAGCATGTAAACACTTTTGAAATATTTCTATAATTGGTAAAAATATGGTAACATAATTAAATATTTAACTTTTTGTAAAATAAAAGGTAGGTTGGTTAGTATTGAGATATACTTTCAAAGTTTCCCTGCCTGGGAAACATGGGGAAAACTACACATTGGTGGCTTCCATGTCGGGAATCTGTATGGAAACCACTGAGGCATGTTTCCATGGTTTCCTATCTTGGGAAACTTACGGGAAACCACAGGTTGATTGTTTCCATGTCGGGAATCTATGTGGAAACCACCGGGGTATGTTTCCATGGTTTCCTATCTTGGGAAACTTACGGGAAACCACAGGTTGATTGTTTCCATGTCGGGAATCTATGTGGAAACCACCGGGGTATGTTTCCATGGTTTCCTATCTTGGGAAACTTACGGGAAACCACAGGTTGATTGTTTCCATGTCGGGAATCTATGTGGAAACCACTATGTGGTTTCCATAAAATGGAAACTATATGGAAACTACTGATGTCACGATTCCCATATGTTTCCATCAGGTTTCCAAATTTGGGAAACCTGGCTTTTCATCCTGTGAAAACTAGTTTTTTCAAACTGGTTTGAATTTCGATCCGGTTTACCTCGGTAAAACAAATGAACAGTTTGTACAAGATGGCTGCCAAAAACTGCAGAACAACATACATGTATTAACCTAATTACTACAAATGAAATAAATTTGTAAAAATCTTTTTTCTTATTATAAAAGAATTTAAAAAATCATAAAGTATCTCTATTATTTGATTATCTTACTTATAGTTAAAGTGAAATATTACATTTTAAATATGCTTCAACGATTAATCAAATAAACAGTTAAAATTGGAATTTATTTCCACATTATTTAACACATGGACAGATGAACACCCAGGTATTTATAATTACTCTTTACATTTCCAATATTTAAGCTGTCTTTGCAGTATGTTCTAAAATTTACCATACATGCTAAAGTTTGTGCAAATGATTTAAATTCATTTTTGAAAATGAAAGTTTGAAATACTCTGTTCATTATAATTGAACAAACTCAAACATCAAATATCAGAATGTGCCATTTAAGTTAAAACGTTGTTTGTCCTCAAATAAAAATAATAATTTATAACTTTTTTCTTCATAAGAATAGTCACCATCTTTCATCACCGCCATACTGGAATATTTCCCGCTCTTTTGCAAACCGAATAAAACGCCATCGGAGGTGGTTTGGTAAATTAAACGAACTGGTTTCAGTTACAAAAATTTTAAACCGGTTCTGGGTTAAAACTAGTTTTAAACTAGTTTGTGGAACAAATGAACAGTTTACAAAACTGGTTCAAAACTAAATCCAGTTTTGGAGAAACAAATTCGCCATTATTGATGCCAAACAGCAGAAATAAATTTAAAGAAAAAAATGCAAAAGAACAGCAATTCAAAAACAATGTAAAAACCGAAATACCAGACAAATGCCTGAATTAAAAACATGAGATTTTGTGCAAATTTTGTGCAAATCCGAGATGGAAAGATGTGGGAATCCGCAGAAATTCGAGCAAAATCAAAAGAGCCGAGATCGTGCATTGTGCAGACCGAAAATCAACAGTTGCGACGAAACAGAAGTCATAACCTAATCTTATGGACTTAACTTTACTACAATTATAAATGTCAATGTTTTGCACAATACTGTAAACCAACTTTTATTCCCGACGACTTTATTTCGCCATTTACCAAGGAAAAACTAGTTCAGGACGATTTATTTTCGCGATCAAGACAATTTGGATACATTGTTAATGGACACATACACTTCAAGGACCGGTATGCCGCGAGAAATATACGCGATGAAGAGGCTCTCGCGAACCTCGCGAAAAATTCTCGAACGCAAATAAAAGTTGGTTTACACTATTTAGCACTATATTTCGATTGTTTTCATAGATTATCAAATACAACCAGTTTTGGAGGTACGAGAGAGCATGTGCGAGTGTTTTGTTTTGTACAGGTAAATTCTATTTTAGCATTCCTTTACGTATGACTGACCAGTTACCAACCATGGAGCAAGGGACTTTGCTATAATTTATATGCATTTTATGCATTTTTACTAACCTGTGCACTATATAAAGTTAGAATTCCGCCGAATTACCCACCCCAACATCTTAAGCCTTTACGGTGTAGCAGATGGAAAATTCAATACCTGATCGATACAATCAATGTACAGTTTATCTTATTCTGATTTTATACTTGATGCCTGGTAAAATGTTCATTAATCTTGTTATTCATTTACTTGTTTAATTTATGTAATGATCTACTGGAGGTCGTTTAAGGATCTCAATTCTTCCTTTTCGTAAACGTTGAATTGCCTTTATGTTTTGTGCACGTGTTTGTCGATTGTTTTGAGTGTTGTGTGTTTTCGATTTTTTTTAAGGTTTTTTCCCTATTTTCATTACGAATTATTTTAAGACTGGACCTATTTTGACCTGTTTTGTTTTAACAAACAAAACCTCGACCGTGTGACAAATGAATTTTGGAATAAAAGTCATATATATAGAGAAAAAAGGTTTTTGTTTATTAGAATAGAAACATTGTTTATCAAGAACTTCAGACGTTGATATTCGAGTCAAAGACAAATTAATCTGCAACGAAATGAAGATCAATTGGGATTCTTGTTGTTACGACGTTTCCTCCCCAGGAGCCAACCATAATCCTTTGGTTTCTCTTTTAATGATATACTGAATCGAAAGCAGCCAAGTTCGATTCCTGTAGCTTGATGTAAAACAGTTGCCTTAACTGTATAGTCACCCTGTCAAAAAAGCACTATATTCAACCGTTTTTGAAGTAACTTGTGTATTCAAATTTGTCCTAATAATACGATGATTTTAAAAAAAAAGTAATGATGAAATGGTTTTTACCGGTACTAAATATTTTGCAAGACCATCCAATTTGGGGATATCGATTCTATAATCAACTATGGTTATGTGCTGGATTGCGACAGGGCAGTGTGTGCTAACCCTCACTGACTCAAACATCTTTATGATCTGACGAGTTGTATTGGTTGTATTGGCTGTATTGGCCGAAATTTCAAAGATGGAACATACATCCAAGGTGCTGCAAAACATTCCAGGAAAGAAGGAAAGTAAGAACCCATTTTTGTTTTATAAAATTTAAAGAGTTTTAGTCAGGAATAATTACTTATTCATATACATTGTTTAACAGTAAGCTTTAATATTGTTTGCGAATACACATGTCTTCATATTTATAGTTTAAACTTAAACAGGAATAATGCCGTTTACTTAATGCAAAATATTGAACAAATCAAAACACTTTCACAAAAACAAAAAATAAATAAATAAATAAATAAATAATCAATAACCTACCATCTTTCTAAAGGAAAAAACAGACAAGAGACATGTATATCATATCCTAGGGTGGAATGTCTGGTAACATCAAATCTAATTTCTGTTCCTAATTCTATTTGCTTCAGAACAAATACTGTGAAAGATACATAAAGTGGTCCAGGGATTTGGACTGGTGTAGGTGACACATTGGCACTGTGAACCTTAATGGCCTGGTGATCTGTATTAGTGGCTGTGTACGAAGAGAATAAGTATGCAGATTAAATCTCTGCTAGTCTCACAAATAGGGAAGAAACAAATCATAATAAAAGCAAAGCAGTCTATTACGACGTTACGTGCGATGTTGGTGCCATTTTACAATTTTAGAATTTTAGAATCTGACCTATTAAACTCATCGATGATTTTAAAAACATACTCGCAATATGGGCGAATTTAGTATGATTGGATAGATTTTTAATAGAACTACCTGATTCTAGTAAGAAAATAACATTTAAATATTTCCATTTCTAATTTTTTTCTCTGCGATAACTCTTTGAAAGTTGTCGGAGTTTATTTCTTGATAATTCTGCCGGAATGTAAATTAGGCAGGTCGTTAGGTCAGAAGCTAAGGAGGCCTAAAATGCATGCAAATCTCGTGCACATCTGTCTCTGTATCTGACGCTAAGGAGGAAAATGTGCATGTGAATCTCGTGCGGCTGCCTAGGTGTTTGACGTCAGTGTGCGAGGACTATTGAAATTGGCATGGAAGTCCTCGTGTAATTTAAATCTATTAGTCTACATTTTTAATGTCTAAGTCTACAATTCTATTTCACAATGAAATGGAAATATAAGGAATCGCTGTCTAGTTTTGAGAGTATGCCAGGGACATCAACAATAGTGGGAAACATGGGCTAATTTTAGCATAACAGGCTTCGCCCGTTATGTAAATTATCCCATGTTTCCCACTATTGTTGATGCCCTGGCATACTCTCAAAACTAGACAATGATTCCTTAAATAATTTTAATGCAAAATGTAGAATTTTACAGCACAGATAAAAGGAATTTTAAGCGTGTAACGCGTTACTTTTTAAGCAGGGATCGCATATTATTCGCGTTTAGATCGTTCAAAATTGAATCTAAATTGTTCATTTTCCTCTTAAAACAAGATCAATCCATGTCATTTGCGACTTTATAAACGATTTTGCATTAAATGTTGGCAAGAAATAGAAAACGATAGTTTTTACAGATGAAAAATATGTAACGCTTTTAATTAAAAACGTGCATATGAATATGAACAATAAATTTTCTCATTTACAAGAAAGTTTAAATAGAAACAATTTATACCAAAATACAGTAAAACTTCTCTAAACCGGCCAGCTGCCGGACTGAATAAAATGGCCGGACTAGAGGGATGACCGGTTTCCCGAGAATCTAACTTACTGAAGAAATTAGTGTCTTTTATAATTACTTGTCAACATGTTATTAATTATCGGCAGACACGTAATGTATTCTTAAGGTCTTAAAAAAAATGGAAATTATTATTAGTGAGGATAAATTCGACATACATGTTAATTTTTATAAAAAGAAATTAAAAAATAAGAACAGAGAGAAACATGGAAGGTTACTTTTATTAACTTGTGCGAAGAAATAAACCAGACCCTTTACCTTGACTAGACTCTATACAGTATACTGCATGTGTATCCGTGTATCGCTTACGTCATTAAAAAAATTGTTTGTACTTCAGCTAAAAGTAAATAATTAAAACATTTCTGAGCAAAACTTCTGTTATTTAAATTATGAAATGTATATTTTGGTAAACATTTTATTTTATTTTTTTCCTTAGCATTTTTTAACAGTGCCCAATTTTAAGGCCGCTTATGTGTATTTAAAAAGATGATGCAATATGGCGTGCGATAATTTGTTTATTCATTCTGTAATTTAAATTTATTAGTTGCTAGATATTTATTAATTCAAGTTTAATTGATGTTAATTATATGTACACAGCTTAGACCGGCCATTAACGTAGTCTGGCATAATGACTACCCCTTCAAGACGGCTAAACAATAGGAAACCCTGGGAGGTCATATTCAGTTTTTCACACCTCTGACTTCCCGTGGGTAGGCTATTTTTCACACCTCCGGCCGGTCATTATTACCCCTCTGGCAAATGACAATTAAATCTCTTTAAATCAAAAAGTGGCCGGTATGATGAGGTGGAATTTCCTATGTTTCTTAACTTTTGTTCTTGGAAAAGTGGCCGATGTCCGGTTTTCAGGGGTGGCCGGTTTTATGAGAGTTTATGTGTAAAGAAATGTTAAGAATTTTGCCGGGACTTATAAATTTGGCCGATATTCAGGGAGAACCGGTTTTCAGGGGAGCCGGTTTGGAGAAGTTTCACTGAAGGAAATTAGTTTATTGTGAGAAATTTGTTGTCAATCATTGTCAACTCTCATGATCAACAACAATAATGAACATATATGTTTAATTCTTTGCTGAAGCTGATATTATCAAATGAAAAAAGGTAATTAAAAAATAAATATCCAAAATAGTGTAAGTTGTACTTACTGCAACTTTGCCACACAAAGGTATGGTACTCCGCTTCAACTAGCCTAACATAAAAAAAAGCAATTAGACAAATATACATGTTGAATAAAGTTCTTGGGGGTATTGACTGCAACAAATTTAACACGTATTTAACGAAACGCATTATTATATACCCTGGTATATTATTCAAGAGTCTCACATAGTTTAGTTGCACAATAACAAGTTTATTTTAAAAAGTTGAGAGACACTCCGAAAAATAGTGAGAAAGGATTTCCCTGATAAGTTCAATGTAAATTTGAAAGATACCAGAGGTATCTTAGGGATATGAAGAAATCGAAATCGTACCATACACTTTTGTTTTTTAAGATTTTATGTAGTCATTGCTAGTTTGATGAAGGTATAGTTTTGTTCTACGCCTAAAAAATCTATTTATTTGATTCGTTTTTGTGTTATAGTTAAAGTTGTGCAAGAAAATAGTACCCCTCAAGACAAATGTATGCAGGTTGCGATGTACTAATACGATGTAAAATCAAGGTTATTAATCTTTTTTGTAAATTTTGGGCCTTATATGACAAAGAACTCGAGTAAGGACATCGTGATTTTTTTTGTTTCAAGTGCTCGCTTTTTTTTCGTTAATTTTAATTATTTGTGTAGGTCACCTAGAGAACTTAGAAGACCTATCAAAATCTGTTTCCGACCATCATGGAGCTTTGCCCTTTGTATATAAGTCATAAAAATTTGTACATTTTTTTCTGGAACGGCTAAGCGATTTTCAATGAAAAAGCATAAAACACCTATGCGTTAAATCAATTATACACTGCATCATCCAAATTCTATATAATAAAGAGTTAATCCTAGGATAACCGTAGAAGTCTTTTCCACACAAAGATCATAAAATTTTTAATAAGCAAATGGGTTTGTATGTAAATCGACTTTTCTCGGTAAGCTGATTTGGATTTAATCTCCAGTTTGTCTGAATTTTCGATCAGAGAAAATGAAAAAGACTTTGAGGGGTAATTTCCGTCTGTTTTTGATATTTTTAGTGGATTTTAACCATACATTTGAGATACACTTATGTGCATAGTAGTAATAAACAAAATAGATTGCAACCTTAATGAAAATTAAACCTTTGTGACAAGTGCTGCATTATATCAAAAAGGTGTATAAAAACAAAGTAATATCAGTTAGTGAATTAAATGGATTGCAGAGCTATGAGCGGGATAATAAGGATGCGATGTAAAAAGATACATGTCAATACGAAAATCTTTTAATATTTTTAACTACTAGGGTTGATCCAAAAGTAATGTTACAACTTCGATAAACTTGCTACAAGTCGACACAAATCAACGAAATCATACATGATAAAAGCAAAATTTATTACAAATCAGTCTTGAAACATTCACATTATAATGATTAATAAAGAACGTCATTTGACGGATATGCGCCGCCATACACTTGAACGCTTTCCCTTCGTTTCATTTAATATATTTGAGATTCTCAAACACATATATTTCTCTTTTTAAAAGAAATATTGGCACCCATTATACTCTCACTCTTTTTTTTTTTTTTTTTACATAATTTAGTCCTCTTTCAAAAATCTTTGAGCAGTACCATAAGACAAACTCAAAGTTTCTCATATCGCTCTGTCTAACCGTCTCTAATTTTGGATTATGTCAGACGTCAGACACATTGAACGTTTCCACCGACCTCCCTTTTTCGGCCATTCAGTCCTCTGCTGGTCATTCAGTCACCAATTACCCGCTAAAAATCTCTTGAGCCATTTTTATAATGAAATCTCATTTAATTCCATATTTAAGATATGAGTAATTTTTTTTTATTTCTAAAATGAAAATTCTCTGAATGATACATTAAAGCGTACTACAAATACAGTTAACACGCCAGACAATTATTTAATTTGCGTGATCAACATTTAACACTTTAAACAGTGTTAAATACAAAAAAAGTAGGTGTAAGCTAAGTGAAGAAAAATAATTAGAGGAGGTTAATTATGAAAATAATAGCTAAATTAAAGCTGTGAAATCAGTTTATTATAAAAAAAACTATAATTTGAAATTCAATAAAGTAGACCAACATGAAAATGGAAAAAAAAAGATTCACCTTTTAAGTTATTGAATTTTGGTTTCAGAAACTGACGACATATCGGACATTTCCTCATGGCTGGAGCAAAGTCAGGACAACAGCAGAGATGACCACAAGGTAACATGGCGATAGAAGCCTAAGTGACGAGAGAGACGAATGGTAGATGGTTAATATTTTGTACCTGCTCATATGAAACAGTTACAGTGTATGTGATTTCATTTTGACATTTCCTTTAAAAGTTCTGCTTCTGCTTTGTTCTCTTCTGCGTTTTTCCTTCTGCTCCTGTTAATTTGATATTGTATCTACATGTGTTGGATGCTACACCCTCTTCTGTGTTTATGGCCTCTTATTCCTCCTGTAAGTTCCATATAAAATTCAATCATCAAAATCAACTATAAAGAAAAGTGTTATTTTAGTTGATGTTGCTGATAATTGAATTTCATTTATATGAATATTTTTTATCCCAACCATTTCATTATATTCAGTTTGCACCAAGGCAACAAATTTGTCTCCTTTGTACTGTCTCAAGAATGCCAACTTCCGAAAGCATCGGGCGTTTTCAATTTAGGAATCATCCACAGGTTTCCAATTACGTTATTCCCCTCCGCAGTAAAAACAGCGTGTGTAATCTCCGTATCCCACGTATAGAAAACCCGCCAAAGCAAGATAACGTGGAGTTTGTGTGATACTTGACGGCCAGTCATTAAACGAACTCACTCGTGTTGCTTCAACTGCATAAGCGGAGTACTTTGGACGCTCAAAATTAATTCAAATAGGATCTAAATTTCTAAGAAAGACATTGATTTTATCTTGTAATGCTCTCGATCTATGATGAGGTTTTTCTCTCTCGTGTCTCTCTGAAGATGTAACGTTGAGATCGTCTCATTCTTGATTAGAGTTGTCGTAATTGTCGGTACTGGAAACCTTTTTTTTCTCTTTGTCTTATTTCATTAATTGACATTGACAGCATTAAGTTCTGCAAAAGATTTCTTTCTCCTGTTTGAATGATATGTCCCAATGTCGATCCACTATTTTTTTCACGTTCTTGATCGTCGATATGATTGCCAACGACATTCTTTCTCTTGTACAGGGACATTTCCAGATTGACAAGAATTTGGAAATGGACAATTTGGAGACAATCGACGATGGATCTCCCGGGGATCATCAGCTGCATTTGATCCATCCATCTGATGAACACCACATGCAAAACAAGCGACTTTGTTTCCTTCGCCAGTGTAATAAAATCCCTCTTCCGCTCTCCTTTCCAACAAATCAGGAAAAATAATTTTACAACATGCAAATCTATCCTTCTCCTGTCAATACTATATCATGACTATATAACATTTTTACTTTCCAAGAAAGGAAATAATAAAGCATTGTTTATAGAAATTGACAAGTAAAATTTACATTAACATCTGTAAAATCTGAATTTTGTTTAGAAATAATATTTAGATAATTTTTGTTAATTTTCATTGGCTATTTTAAATTTTGCCATCATTAAGATATAAAATATAAAAATATTATCTATATTCTTTAAAAGATTAACAACTTTAAAAAAATGAATGATGAAATAAAGCATTATTATATCTTTTTAATTTGACTTATTTACCATGCCTTAAAAGAAAAAAAAACATATTTTATTGACAACTTTTAAAAAAAATTCTAAAGTAAATGCTGAAATGATGTTTATTTGCCGTATATATTATACTTAAAATGAAATGTATATTATTTAAACAACAAACTTTAAATTAACGTTAAATGTAATAACTTTGATTTTTATAACTATGGTATGTGGAAAAAGAGCTGTGATAATATTGCGTTTAAAAATATTCCAATATTTATTGTATTCTATTGCGCAAGGTTTTGCAATCATTCTACAAAAACGTGTCTTTTAAATGTCGATACAATTTAATTTTTTTAGAATAAAAATTTAGTTTACATAGTGCTGTAAAATAAGTCAATAGATACAAAAGTAATTAGAATGTAAGATAAGGATGAATAGAAACTCTCAAATAAACCAGTACCAGTATATCTACAAGAATGCCTTGATGGAAAATATTTTTGCGACGCTATACTATACTATACTATACTATACTTTGTTATACCTTTAGAAATTTGTTCCTATACAATTTTATACAAAAATACTATACATTTTTATACTATACTATACTATACTATACCGGAGAGATACCATACTACACTACACTACACTACACTACACTACACTACACTACACATTTACACTACACTACACTACACTACACTACACTATACTATACTATACTATACTATACTATACTATACTATACTATACTATACAATACTATACTATACTATACATGTCTATTCAATACTGACATACCTGCTAGATGATAGCGAAGATGTAATAAATGTGTATGAATTACAGTAAATACTGCAGACGTTCATACATTCACTAAACACTGGCAATTTGAAGAGTAATCTTTCCTTTCCTCTCATTAGAAAATAATGAATTAAAACATATAATACAAAGCTTTTACATGATATTTTCTTTGACACGGAATGACACTACAAATGCACAAATGCAATCGATAATAAATAATTGCATGTTAAGTGCAATAACAGATTATAATTACATCATAATAATAGCTCTTAATCCCATTTTAATTGAGTTAGAGGGGATGTAGAAATGCAATTGTGTATTTGTTTATGGGTTATGTCCTGTGCGGAATGGAAGTGACTTAATTTCAGTTGAAGTAGATAACGAATGTTGCCTTGATGTACAATTATGCTATTTTGTTTTAATTTCTTAAAAAAAGGCTATTAAGGTAGGTAATAAATATCTTAGTTCGAGAATATAAAATTCTAGAATGAAAAGGATAATTTAAAATGGTTCAACTTTCCTCTTTTTAATTTTAAGCTAATAGATATATCTAAAATATTTTATCACATATCTGATTTGACCAAAAAACCGTAATTTTCACCAGCAGAGTTAAGTAACAGTATCGTGTATATTCGTGGATGATTGAGTTAAT